AATTTCCCCCGGACTTCTAACCCAGATCCAGTCCGCGGGTCTTAAAGCATGGAGGCGCCTTCCACAAAAGGGCACCGCAACCACCTCTCTTGCAAAAAATAAGACAGGGCCCAGACGAGCCATACAGTGATTTCATAAGTCGTTTACAAGAATTAGCTGAGAGGCTCTTTGGCGCGGGCGAAAGTGAAAACGCTTTCGTCAAACACCTAGCTTATGAAAATGCCAACCCCGCTTGCCAAAATGCCATCCGCCCCTATCGCCAAGGAGAGCTCTGTGACTATGTTCGCCTCTGCTCCGGCATCGGCTCTGCCCATGCTTTCGGACTTGCCATTGGTGCCGCCTTACAAAATTTTTATGCCCCCACAGCCGGCGCCCCCCTAATCGCCTTTGTTACAACTGTAACCAACCTGGACATTTTTCCCCGAGCCTGCCCCCCAGAAGAGCCAAAATCAGACTCAAATTCAGATCCAAAACCCAACAGGGCCTAGTACTAATAGTCCAGGAGCCCCCTGCCACGAAATGCCCTCGCTGTAAGAAGGGTTTTCACTGGTCCTCAGAATGCAGATCTAAGACAGACATTTATGGACAGCCCATTCCCCCGCCGCAGGGAAACTCCAACAGGGCCCAGCCCCAGGGCCCCATACCGAGTGTGAACTCCGGGGCTACACAGTTCACTCCCCATCACTCCACCCACAGATCCCTGCCCTCCCGGTAATCAATCACGCCGCTACGTCACAGACCTGTGGAGGGCCACAGCAGGCAGCGCAGGATTGGACCTCTGTGCCGCCACCGACACAGTACTAACTTCAGACAATAGTCCCCTAATAGTCCCTACCGGCGTTTTTGGGGCCCCTACCGCCTAATACTTTTGGGCTTATCTTCGGCCGAGTCAGTTCCACCCTACAAGGGATACAAGTCCTCCCTGGCATTATAGATAATGATTTTGAAGGACAAATCCAAATTATCCTTTCCACCACTTCAGATTTAATTACCATCCCCAAAGAAACTAGGTTAGCCCAAATAATCATCCTCCCCCTTCAACATCTTAATTCCAATTTTCAAAAACCTTTTCGAGGGTCAAGCCCCCCCGGCTCTTCAGATGCATATTGGGTGCAACAGGTTACCGAGGGCCGTCCCCTTACTCGAACTCAGAATTAATGGTAAAGCCTTTTCAGGTATTATTGACACAGGAGCCGATGCCACTGTTATTTCTGAGTCTCAATGGCCTCGAAATTGGCCCCTAACCATAGCTGCCACACATTTGCGTGGCATAGGACAGTCTACCAATCCACAACAAAGCTCTAAAACCCTTAAATGGGAAGACAATGAAGGAAACCAGGGCTTCGTGACCCCATATGTACTACCTAACTTGCCCGTTAATCTATGGGGGGAGATATTCTCGCCCAAATGAAAGTAGTCTTATATAGCCCCAGTAACGTTGCTATAACTCAAATGCTAAACCAAGGATTCGTACCCTGCCGCGGCCAGTGAGGCAGTGGGTTCGAGACGCGCAGTGACGGACTGAAAAGAGAGAGCGACCAGTTGCTCTGGTGGCAAAAGGCAAGTTTATTGAAAACTCCTGTCATTATATAGTGAGATGTTCTAAAAATAGAATGCTTGCTACACGATGAGAGTCTTTGTTCAAGAAAGTTTACACACCCCCTTCAGGTCACGTACAGAACATCCTGGTTTAGATTAACTCCAAGGACACGACGCATCGCCCCCAAGGCTCCGGCACCTCCCTCGTCCTTCTCTTGGGAACAATCCGATAACAAACAAGGCCGGGGTAATGTCAGGTCACCTCCCCGAGGCCAAGGAACAGGCCCAAGCATCATTCTCACAATGCAGGACCCTAACTCTTGACCCCTTCCTGGGGGCTTGGTTCCCCACAGTACCCGGCCAAGGGCTAGGAAAAAACCATCAAGGCATCACTCAACCCATTTCCATTAATCCAAAATTTAATAAGACAGGTCTGGGATATACCCAAAATTTACCCTAGCGGCCATTGACAGTCCTGCACCCCATGCAGATAAAATATTATGGAAATCCACTGAACCTGTGTGGGTTGATCAATGGCCCCTTACTCAGGAAAAAACCCTCACTGCTATTATGTTAGTGCAGGAACAACTTGCGGCAGGGCACATTGAGCCTTCTAATTCCCCTTGGAATACCCCTATTTTTATCATCAAAAAGAAATCTGGAAAATGGCGTCTTCTACAAGATCTTAGAGCCGTCAATAAAATAATGGTCCCCATGGGAGCCCTACAGCCTGGTCTCCCGTCACCTGTTGCCATTCCTGCCAATTATTACAAAATTGTCATAGATTTAAAAGACTGCTTTTTTACCATTCCCCTCCACCCTGAAGACAGACCCTACTTCGCCTTCAGTGTCCCTCAAACCAATTTCCAAAGCCCTATGCCTCGTTACCATTGGAAGGTACTACCACAGGGCATGGCCAACAGCCCCACCCTGTGTCAAAAGTTCGTTGCAGCTGCCATCGCCCCAGTCAGAAAGCAATGGCCCCAGGCCTATATCCTCCATTATATGGACGATATCCTTCTAGCCTGCCCTGACGGTGATACCGCTAGGGCCTGTCACGCCCATATGATCACATGCCTTGCTGACCGGGGACTACAGATCGCCCCTGATAAAGTGCAAACATCTGATCCGTATTCCTATCTAGGGTTTAAACTATGTCACCAACAAGTACTTACCCCCCACATATCCCTCAGAACTGATAATTTAAAAACACTCAATGATTTTCAAAAGCTTCTTGGAGACATTCAGTGGCTCCGGCCATACTTAAAGCTGCCCACAGAAGCGTTCCTCCCACTCAATAACATTCTGAAAAGAGACTCAGATCCCTTATCTCCGCGTGCCTTAACCCCCGAAGCAGAACATTCCTTAACCATTATCAACAAAGCCATACAACGGCAAAGCGCTCAACAGATTTCCTATAACCTACCTCTAGTATTCATATTACTCCCTACAGCCCATACACCTACTGGAGTTTTCTGGCAGTCAAAAACCACAGACCTTACAAAAAATGGCCATCCCCTTCTTTGGGTCCACCTACCAGCCTCTCCCTCACGAGTATTACTTACTTATCCCTCCCTTCTTGCCACTCTAATTATTAAGGGGCGATCCACCAGCCGCCAACTATTTGGTAAAGACCCTGATTCAATAATTACTCCCTACTCACATGACCAAACAAACTGGCTTCTACAAACTTCTGATGAGTGGGCTATAGCATTATCCTCCTTTACAGGGAATCTTGATAATCACTACCCTAGTGATCCCCTTGTTCAATTTGCTAAAACTCATCAGTTCATCTTTTCTAAACTCACCAAAGCAGCTCCAATTCCTAAAGCCACCCTCGTCTTTACCGACGGATCTTCAAACGGCACAGCTGCCTATATCATTAATAAACAAACTTTTACAATTAAATCTCCTTACTCCTCTGCTCAGCTCGTAGAACTGTTTGCCATACTTGAAGTTTTTACTTCACTTGCCAACCAACCGTTCAACCTCTATACTGATAGCGCCTATATAGCTCAGTCAGTCCCTCTACTAGAAACAGTTCCCTTCATCAAACCCTCCACTAATGCCACCCCTTTATTCACCAAACTACAAAACCTTATCTTACAAAGACAACACCCTTTCTATATTGGACATCTTCGTGCTCACCTTGACCTTCCTGGGCCCCCTAACAGAAGGCAACGCCCTAGCTGATGTTGCCACACAGACCATCTGCCCTATTCTTACAGACCCAGTTACTGAGGCCACACAAGCCCATACCTTACACCATTTAAATGCCCATACCCTTCGCCTTCTTTATAAAATCACTAGAGACCAAGCTAGGGACATCGTTAAAGCTTGTCCTCATTGTATAACCTCAGCCCCTGTGCCTCATTTAGGCGTTAATCCCCGTGGCCTTATACCCAATGCTATATGGCAAATGGATATTACCCACTTTGCCGCCTTTGGGAAGCAAAAATTTATTCATGTTACAGTTGATACTTTTAGTGGATTTATAGCTGCCACACCCCAAACAGGAGAAGCGTCAAAAAATGTAATCTCTCATATGATCCACTGCTTTTCCGCCTTGGGCAAACCCCACACCATTAAAACAGATAATGGCCCTGGCTATACAGGAAAAAATTTCCAAGCCTTTTGCCAACAACTTCAAATTAAGCATATTACTGGAATCCCTTACAATCCTCAAGGACAAGGTATAGTAGAGCGGGCCCACCAAACCTTAAAGAATGCCATTAATCGCCTAACACACTCTCCTCTTGGATTTTCAAAACAACAACCTCGAAATCTTCTAAATCATGCCCTCTTCCAGCTTAATTTTCTTACACTAGACATACAAGGTCGTTCGGCAGCCGATCGCCACTGGCACCCACAAACCGCATCACAACAAGCCACGGTCATGTGGCGCGACCCCCCTCACTCACGCCTGGAAAGGCCCAGATCCCCGTCCTTATATGGGGAGAGGCTCAGCCTGTATTTATGATCAAAAAGAAGATGGCCCACGATGGCTCCCCGAAAGGCTAATAAAACATGTCAATCATCGCCCCGCCCCACCAGTTAAACCTAATCAAATCCCAGGGAATAATAATACGCCCTGAGGAGATTTTCTCTTCTTTCTATTTCAGGCAAAACATGTTCTCCCAATGGCTCTTCTTCCTGTTACTACAAGCACTCTTACACCTAAGAACATATGGAGGGCTTTCAAGCGCCGCCTGGCAATATTTACCACGTCCTCTTTGGGCCACCGTGTGAATGCCGTGGAGGAACTACTACCGATCATGCCGTCCCCTCGTCTTATACTCAGGTAGTAGACTGCAACACAAAAACAGCTTACCTAGTTTCTTCACCCACAGCAACAGGGGGGGATGTCCAAACCCACATGGTCCTGCGTACCTAAGCCTCCTATCATACCTGCCATTAATGGAAAGCCAGGACCATGCCCATGCACCTCCTTTTATTCAACAATGCACTCTTCTTGCTACAATAATGTTCAAGAGTGTACCCTTGGCAATAAGGCATATTTTACTGCCATACTCCAGAAAACAAAAAATGCTGCCAACGTAGGAGACTGGGGAGATAGCTCATCAGTCGTTGGCCTTAGTTCCACCAAATACTTACAAGCCAGCTGCCAAGGCACTGTAGGACAGTCAGTGTGCTGGGAACAAACTCCTCCTATTCACACTTCTGATGGAGGTGGGCCTCAAGATATCATAAGAGAACTCACTGTCCAGAACCAAATAGAACAGCTCATTGAAAATCAATTCCCTAAACTCACCCATCACCCTCTGGCTCTTCCCAAGTCGCGAGGAATAGATCTAGATACCCAAACGACAGACATTTTGACAGCCACCCATCGGGCACTAAATATTTCCAACCCTACACTAGCCCAAGATTGCTGGTTATGCTTAAGCCAAGGCACCCCCCATGCCTCTAGCTGTCCCCCACCAACATATCAGCCCTGAATATCACCGAACAAAATTGCACCCTCAGCATACCCTTTAGAGTTCAGCCTATGCTTTTTTACTCCTCCCCCTGCATCTATAAGAAATTACAAAATAATTCTTTTGATATTTCTGTTGGTTTCGCTAGCTTTACCAATTGTAGCCACACGCTTAATTACAGCACATCCCTCTGCCCTGGTCCAGGACGAGCATTCGTTTGTGGTAATAATCTAGCTTTCACCGCCCTGCCCGCCAATTGGACAGGGCTATGTGCCCTAGCTGCCTTACTACCTGACATAGACATTATCCCAGGGGATGAACCCGTCCCCGTTCCTGCTTTTGACCACTTCGCAGGACGACACAAAAGAGCCTTAGCTATTATTCCCCTGCTTGTTGGTCTAGGAGTTTCTGGAGCGGTAGCTACCGGAACTGCAGGATTAGGAGTTGCAGTTCACTCCTATACAAAACTTTCCAAACAACTTGTCGATGATGTCCAAGCCTTATCCAGTACTATTACTGACATTCAAGACCAACTAGACTCCCTAGCGGAGGTAGTCCTCCAGAATAGACGAGGCCTAGACTTACTCACAGCAGAGCAGGGAGGCATTTGTTTAGCTTTACAGGAACGATGCTGCTTTTATGCCAACAAGTCAGGCATCGTCCGGGACAAGATCAAAACCCTTCAAGAAGATCTGGAAAGACGACGAAAAGCTCTGACTGAGAGCCCTTTCCTTACAGCCTTCAACGGACTACTCCCCTTTCTTCTCCCTCTCCTCGGGCCTTTAATAGCTATCATTCTCTTCCTGACCTTTGCTCCCTGGGTTCTCAGGCGCACCACAAACCTCATCCGAGACCAACTTAACTCCCTTCTTGGCAAATCTATCCAGATACATTATCATCAGCTAGAAATGAATGAACCTGGCACTGACTCGCAGCGTTTTCTCCAAGAATGTCCTCGCGCATAAGCCTTGCACCCCCCCACCTCTTACGAGAACAGTATAACCCTTGGCATTATACTTTACATATAAATTGTAATGGATACCGCTAGGTGCAGAGCAAAGCATCGCAAGGAGAAGCTGCCCCGAAGGTGGCCCTGCCATGTCTCCTGAGAGGCAAGTCGGCTTGCATAGAGGTCAGTGCCCCAACCCTCTCCTCTGAAAAGGCTACTTCAGAGCTCAGGACGAGCTCAGGAGGAGCCAGACCACTGCCTCCCCTAGCTGGTTAATGTCCACTCCTCACCTTAAAAATAAAAAATAAGGGAGGAGATGTTGGGGGGCAGGGATGAAGCCTGAAAGCAGGCTGATGCAACCAAGGCTAGAAATTGCGCATACATAACAGGATATCTGTGGTCAGAAGTCATTTGCAGGTGCCTCAGCCTGAGCACGCGGGACGGCACGCCAATCAGTGCCTTGATCACGCGCCTATCATGCGCCCCTTAGCCTATCCCAGTTAAGAGCATGCCCCCAAAGCTACCAACCAGAGCTACTTCCCCTATCTGCCTTCCTCTACCCTCCTCTATATAACTCCCTCCATTTTGAAAATAAAATTTGCAGCTTGATCAGAATCCTTTGTCTTGCTGTCATTCTTTCGCGCCTCCTGTCCCATCCCTTTTCATCCATTGCAGGTATATCGGCGGACCCCGTTGACTGCCTCGCGGGCCGAGGCAATGGGCCATCTGTCCTACTTTATTTCTTTTTGTTTTCTAACTTATGTGGCTAGGACTTCTAATACTGTGTTGAATACAAATCGTGAAAGTGACATCCTCCTGTTGTCCATAACTTAAAAAAAATATTTTAGCTTTTTTCATTCCATTTGATGTTAGCTGTGAGTTTGTCATATATGGCCTTTGTTATGTTGAGTTAGTTTCTTTTTTCCCACTTTGCTGACCATTTTTATCATAAATGGGTATTGGATTTTGTCAAATACTTTCTCCTCATGTATAGATATGATAACACATTCTCAATCTTTCATTTTGTTTATATAATGTATTATGTTCATTGATTTGCGGATATTGAACCATCCTTGCACATCAAGATAAATTCCATGGAATATAATCTTTCAATGTTCTATTTATGTATTTTAGAGAGAGAGAAGAAAGGAGAGGGAGATAAAGAAACATCAGTTTGTTGTTTCACCCATTTATGCATTCATTGGTTGATTCTTGCTATGTCCTGACTGAGAATTGAACCTTCAACCTTGGTGTTTCAGAATGACAGTCTAACAACATGAGTTACCTGGCCAAGGCTTAATGTATTGCTGACTTTTGTTTGCTAATATTTTCTTGAGAATTTTAGCATCTATGTTTATCAGGGATATTGGCCTTTAATTTTCTTTTTCTTTTTTGCAATGGCTTTGCAACATTTTGGAATCAGGATAATGCTAGCTTCATCAAATAAGGTGGAAGGCTTCCTTCCTCTTGAATATTTTAGGATAGTGTGAGAAAGAGGTTAATATCTTTGAATATTTGGTAAAATTCACTTGTGAAGACCATCAGGGTAAGACTTTTAGTTATTGTTTTTGGAATTTTTTCATTACTGAATCAAGTTACATTTATTGTAATCAGTCTGTTCAGATTTTCTGTTTCTTATTTATTCAGTGTTGAAATGTATTGTTCCAGTAATTTTTCCTTTTACTACAGGTTTTTTTTTTAATTTTGGTGTATTATTGCTTATATTTTCTGACTTTTTTATTTGTGTTAACACTTATCCTATTCCATTTGTACTTTTATTTATTTAGGTCTTTTCTTTTTTTTCCCCCCTGAGGAGTTTCATTAAAGGTTTGTCAACCTTGTTTATAGTTTCAAAGAACCAGCCCTTGTTTTTCTATTTTTCTTTTGCTGTTTATTTTTTTCTCTAAACTTTATGATTTCTTCTCTCTTATTTACCTAGGGCTTTGTTTATTTGAAGGAATGACCTACTGTTAGCAGCAGATGATGCTATGAACATGTGTACCTAGCATTCACTACAAGTGAGACTGATAACTCAGTCTCTTTTCTCCTGCTTGATTTTTACCCCTTGCCTCACTTCTGACTCCAAGTGTTGGCATTTCTTAAAATTGTTTTTAATTTGTTAGTGGATCCTTTTGAAGTGTAACCCCTCTATGTTGATTGTTAAATTTTAATCCTTACAGAATTATAATACTTTCTACTGTCTTCCTGAATTCTTGGGTGATTTTTTTAAGAAATAATTTATTTTTTATTAAATTCTTATACTTTTATTATAAAAATTTTATAATAAAATTTTATTAAAATAAAAATTTTAATAAAAGTTTTTAAACTTTTATTAAATTTTTTTAAAATGCTAGCTTCATAAAATAAGGTGAGAGGCTTCCTTCCTCTTGAATATTTTAGAATAGTGTGAGAAAGAGGTTGACTTTCATGTGCTCCCTGCTGGGGACCTGGCAACTCAGGCATGTGTCCTGAACTAAGGATCTAATTGTGACCCTTTGGTTTGCAGGTCTGCACTCAGTCCAGTGAGCTACAACAGCCAGAGCATATTTTTTAAAAATAATAGTTTATTGTTCTTCAAGGACAGTTGTCTTCATTTTCCCCCACCACCACCTCACCTCAACCATCCTCACCTCCCACCCTCAGTCCTACAACCCTATGCTTTAGTCCATGTATTCTTCATACATGTTCCTGAAAACCCCTTCTCCTTTTTCCTCCTTTATCCCCTCCACATCCCCTCTGGTTACCGTCAGTTTGTTATTAATGTCATTGTCTCTGTTTATATTTTGATTGCTTATTTGTTTTGTTGATTAGGTTCCACTTATAGGTTAGATCATATGATATTTGACTTACACTGCCTGGCTGGCTTACTTTCACTGCCTCACTGCCTTAGCATAATGCTGTCTAGTTCCATCCATGCTGTCACAAACATAGGAGCTCCTTCTTTCTTTCTGCTGCATAGTATTCCATTGTGTAAATATACCATAGATTTTTAATCCATTCATTTACTGATGGGCATTTAGGCTGCTCCTAGCACTTGACTATTGTGAATTGTGCTGCTCTGAACATTGGGGCACATAGGTCCTTCTGAATTTGTTTCAGAGTTCTTAGGGTATAATCCTAGTAGTAGAATTGTCAGGTCCAAGGGCAGTTTCATTTTTAGTTTTCTGAGGAAATTCCATACTGTTTCCCACAGTGGCTGCACTAGTCTGCATTTCCACCAACAGTGCACTAATGTTCCCTTTTCTTCAGATACTCTCTAACACTTGCTGTGTGTTGATGTGTTTATCATGGCCATTCTGACAAGTGTGAGGTGGTATCTCATTGTGGTTTTCCTTTGCATCTCTCTAGTGGCTAGTGATGCTGAGCACTCTTTCATATATCTCTTGGCTTTCTCTATGTCCTCCATGGAGAAGTGTGTGTTCAAGTCCTTTGCCCATTTATTAACTGGATTGTTTGTATCCCTGCAGTGGAATTTGTAAGTTCTTTATATATTTTGGAGATCAAACCCTTGTCTTAGGTATCATTGGCAAATGTTTTCTCATATGTTTGGTTCTCTTTTCATTTTAACCCTGCTTTTTTTTTTTTAGTTATGCAGAAGCTTTTAATTTTAATGAGATCTTATTTGTTTATTCTTCCTTTTATGTCCCTTGCTTTAGGGGATATATCTGTGAAAATATTGCTACTTGGGATATCTGAGATTTTTCTGACTATGTTGTCCTCCAGAACTTTCCTAGTGTCATGACTTATATTTAAGTCTTTTATCCATCTTTAGTTTATTTTTGTGTGTGATGTAAATTGGTGGTTGACTTTCATTTTTTTTTTTTGCATGTAGCTATCAGATCTCCCAACACCATTTGTTGAAGAGGCTATTTTTTTCTCCATTTTATGCTTTTGTATACTTTGTCAAATATTTATTGACCACAGAGACATGGGTTAATTTCTGTGCTCTCTATTCTGTTCCATTCTTCTATGTGTCTATTCTTACACTAGTAAAACACTCTTTTGATTACCGTGGACTTGTAATATAGTTTTGTATCAGGTATTGTCATCTCTCTTACTTTGTTCTTCTTATAATTGCTGTGACTATTTGGGATAATTTGTGGTTCTATATAAAGTTTTGAAACATTTGTTCTGTGTCATTGAAATATGTCATTAGTATTTTAATAGGGATTTCATTGAATCTGAAATTGTTTTGGGAAGTATGGACCTTTGATGTTAATTCTTCCAATCCATGAATATGCTTCCACTTATTTTTCTCTTCCTTAATTTTTTTCATCAGTGTTGTGTAGTTTTCTGGATAGAAGTCTCTTACATCCTTCGAGATGTTTCTTCCTAGGTACTTTTTTATCTTTGTTGATATTCCAAATGGGATATCTTTTCATGATTTCTGTTTCTGGTATTACATTGTTGGTGTACAAAAATGATTTTGATTTCTGAATATTGACTTTGCAGCCCACTGTTTTGCCAAATTTACTTATTAGGTCCACTAGTTTTTGGTGCAATCTTTAAAGTTTTCTATGTACAATATCATATCATATGCAAAAATGACAGTTTTACTTCCTCCTTTCCAATATGGATTCCTTTTATTTCTTCTTTTGTGATTTCTGGGGCTAGGACATCTAATCCTATGTTGATTAGAAATGGCAAAAGGAGACATCCTTGTTTTGTTCCTGATCTTAGTAGAAAAGAGTTTAGTTTTTGCTATTTAGGAATGTTGTTGTCTGTAGGTTTTCGTATGTGTCCTTTATTATCTTGAGGAATTCTCCCTCTATTCCTACTTTGCTGAATGTTTTTATCATAAGTGGCTACTGTACCTTATCAAATACTTTTTCTGAATCTATTGATGTGATTATGAGATTTTTCTATTTCCTGTTGTTTATGTGATGTATCCCATTTATTGATTTGGGAATATTGTACCATCATTGCATCCCTGGGATGAATCCCACTTGGCCATGATGTATGATGTTTTAATATGTTGCTGGATGCAGATTTCCAATATATTGTTGAGGATTTTAG